TAGCTAGAATTGCCTCAGTATAGATTTCGTACTGTCATGAGTGCTATATATGTTGTACTGTCGCGAGTGCCATATATTACTCTGTCCAAATTATAGTTGAGGCCTTTTTACATGGGATTTCAATCATTTTATTGCAACTTATCTGCTTTATAGTTACTTTCGAAGACTGACCGGTTGAGCAGAGGACTCGGACTAGAAGAGATGCCTATTGTCTATTGATTTCATGATATACTGTGTAGCTAGTGCTGTTCTGTTGGGTGGTCCTCTCGTACTTGAGTTCTAAAATTGTTTAAAGTTGCTCTTAAACAATTTTTTTAAATCCTTATTTTGTAGCAATTGACATTAAGATTTTAATTTATGTCAAAGTCAATAATTAATTTTAAATATACATTTTATGTGACTTACAACTTTTTAATTATACATTTCATCAACTTTTATAAAAATTTGCTAAAAACCTGATTTTAATTTTCACCAGGATTTATAATCATTTATTTTTATTATTATTTTTTTTAATCTCTTATGCATATGGCTGACGAGCTATGATATACCCATGTTTCGTTATAGTTGGTCACAAAATTCCGAAGAATTCAAGAAAACGAACGGAGAAGGGAATTTTCTGTTCCTCCTATTTTACTAGTTTAGCTAAATTTTTGTTATCTTCTATTTTTCATGCTGCTCTTCATATTGGGTGTTTGTTATACCAAATGGTAAATTCCTTTAAGGTCTCGACCTTCCATTTATGTCATACATGTCCCTCTTTTAAGACCGTGCTCATGGTATGGAAAATAGAAATGCGTAAATGGCCACCTGAAAGGCACTGTTTGATTTTTGGGATAAAGAAATTTTTTTAGCTCTTATTTGGTAGGTATTAAAGTATAATTTTTTATTAAAGTCAAAATCAACAATGAATTTGCTCACTTATTTTGGGAGATTTATAATTTTTCAACCTCATATTTTATTAATTTTTATTAAAATCCACTCAAAATTTAATTTTAATCATGAGCAATTTTGCCCTGTAGCCATGTTACATGAATATGGTGGGAATGCCAGAGTCTGTGATAAAAGGTTGGAGACATGATGTACAAATGTAAGGCTGAAAACTCAACTGCTCCACCAATGAAAGTACAAGGATCATGGAGGGATTTTTTCCATCCAAACGCTTAACCATATTCAAGCCTGTTTGACAACCAGTATAATGAAAAATTTGGATAAAATGTATTTTGTAATAGTAGTTTTTAGGAGAATATGTGGTTAAAATAGAAGGAAATTTTTTTAATTTATGTGTAATATTATTTTATCCAATAATATGTGGTTGAAAAGAAAAGTGAAAAGTGTATTAAAATTTTAAAGGGAATCAAACAAGGACTCAAGTAGCAAAACAAAGTTAAGCCATATCAAATGTTAATGTGGATTGCATAAAAAATTGTCTTATAAGTAAAATAGACAACGCATATACAAATTCTTTACTGATGCAAACTAGGTGAAACATCTAGCAGATATAGCAAGAAAGGGGGAAAAAAAAAGTAGATATCATCAATATGACCATATGAATCCCCTCTACATTAAAAGAGGGAATGTGGGGTGCACGGTTCATTTTGGTCCCCTCGTGTTCACACTCAATACGGATAGATACTGTTCACGAACGAGTTTCATTCTATTCATCAAAATATCACTGTTCACATTTTCCGTGTATCCGATTCCACTACTGTTCATCAACAGGTTATACTTATCTCGCAAATAAAGGTACTTATTACCTTTTCTTGTTTGAATTTTTCTATTTGTACATTTAGTGTACCGACCACGTCACAAGAGGAGGGTCTACGACAAATAAATAAATTGTGGGCCCCCTCTTATGAATGTGTCTGTCAACTCCGGTGTAGGACACCGATGTATATGTAGACAAATTCTTCTTGCTTTGTGTTTTGCTTTTGGATCTCTATTTCCAGTCGACTCCGACATACACTTTGGGGAGGAGGAGACAATGAAGACAAAGGTCCCAATTGTTACAAATAAAAGCATGTCTTTGTTTACTGGTTTCCCAATTGAAAACTTGTTGGCTGTGGCCACCTCCACTTCTCCGAAGAGGCTCTTGATTTCTCATCCTCCACTCAAAGCACTCCTCGTTAATCTATTCGCTTTTGTCTGAAAAAATTTTCATCTGTCGTTTGGGTGATGCTGTTGTTAATTTCGGTATAGATGCTGTACAGAGAGGCCTTTTATTCAAAGACGAAATATAGACATCTTTTCCCCTTTTTATTTATTTTTTAATTATTTTCTTTTACATCAAATCGAAGATTTATTAGATGGCGCATTTTTAAATTCTTTGTATCTAGCTTTTCTGGAAGCTGTGCTTCTTTTATTTCCAGTAATACAACTGCACCTACCAGGTATTTACGGGCTTAATCAGCATAAATAAAGTTCTTTGTGTGTAGCAAAGTATCTCACCTTGCAAATTTGGTTCAACAGCATATTGTTTGAAGCAATTTCCCAATTTCTTATGGACAAGGATTGAGTGGATTGTGTATTTACTATTTGACTTAGGTTTCTCGTTTTCACTTCATGAAAATGATATTTGGTTATCCAGATATCAGCTTCTTTTGGCCCTTTGCCACAATTCTTTCCCCTTGTAACAAGTTTTCATTAAGTCCTATATTATTTAACTGCAATATTTCTCTATTATTTACCAGGATTCCTTATTCTAGGAGTTCGGTGACAGAAGATGGAAAATCCGAATGTGCTATTGTCGATAGGGATGAAACTTGATCAAAGGAGGTTTGTATAAGAGGAATTGGTCCCACTGCTCCAAAATTCAAAATTTTGAAGCCATTCGGTGTTATCCTTAGCTTTGATGGGATTGATGTTGCCAATGATGGAACAGGTGAATGAGACAAATGTTCTTATGGCTTGTAGACAGATAGATAAAATAATCCTTCTACACGAACAGAAGGATGTTTGCCAAAAACTACGTACAGAAAACTCACAGTTCTAGAACCTACACACATTTTTGACATTTTTTATACAACATGGGGCCCACGCACTTGTCTCTATTCTGTACACCGTCTGTGAAAAATTTTTTGTACACCCAGATTTTTTCTACATAAAATTCTCACATCCTATCTCATTGCCTCTCTCCTCTTCTTCTATACATACAAGTGTAAATATTTTCTGCTATTTTAAACTTCAACTCCAGTTAAAATGAAAATAAATTGTCGTATCTCATAAATAGGAAATTTAGTTTCTGCAAATAGCACAAATGCAAAATACCAAGGAAAGAAGCCTTACAATCATGATGAAAGATAGTATAGGAATTTTCATCAAGAGACTTGAGCATATCAGTAGAGACATAGCATAATGAGTGCTATTTATTCTCTTCATAATTTTTCTATGGTTTTGATTTTTTATTTGTGATTTGATGATCATAATACTATAGATATGAGAACTTACATATTTTTAAAATAAATTAAAACACTATTTGTAAATCTTTTAGTTAAGCATAATAAAACATAGGAATACGTTTAATGATGGGAATACACTTAAAAATAAATTAAAACATGATTTGCTTCTTTTGAAGTAGCATGTAATGTAGAGGAATTTTCTTCTCACAAAGGACATACATCTAGATCTCGTCGAGTAATAGGAATGTCGGGTTGTAGCCCACATAATGTTTCCATTGCTCCTATTAATGAGTTGGGAACAATAGTTAAAAACAATAACATTGACAGAGGTCTTTCCCAAATGTTGGTAAGAAAATTGATTTATTTATCTCGTACAAGATCACACATTGCATTTGTTCTTAGTATGGTAAGTTGGCATTTGTTGTTAGTATGATAAGTCAATTTACACACTCACCTTGTGCAATTCATATGTAACCAGTTTCATAGATTCCGAGATACTTCAAAAATGTTCCTGAAAAAGGCATTCTCTTCTGAAAAATCATCATATCCAAGTAGAAGCATATATAGACGTTGATTTGGCTAGTTGAATAAACTAGATATTACACATTTTTTGGTGAAAATTTGGTTACATATGGGTAAGAAACAATAGGTAATAACAAGATTTAGTGCTAAAGCTATATTCAGATTAATGGCTCAAGTGATTTATGAGTTGATATGGTCAAGAACTTTGCTTAAGGAGTTATGAGTTTTTCAACCCATAGTTATCAGACCCAATCCCAAAACACTCTCATTAGTTTATCTTTTATGTTTCTATTTATTCTTGTATGTTGACTCTGTTCGTAGCTATAGCCTGCTGGACGTGTCAAAATAGATCAGGCGACCTATCTGTGAGCAACCAAAGCCATAAAAGATCAAAGCTGAGACAATCAAGCTTTGAAAATAGGTCATCCCGCTAGAGCATTCAGTCACACGAGCCAAAATAAAGTGGATAATTTTGAAAGATCAACTTGTGAGTCCTCTATATATATATATATATATATATATATATATATATATATATATATATATATATTTACTACTGTTTTAGTTTTACTACTGTTTGTTTGCTGCTTTTGGATAACTTTTACTTTTTAATAACTTTAATCCTACTCAGTAGTCTCCTTAGTTTTCTATAAATCTTTTCTTAGAATCATATATAAATCCCTTTTTTTTCACCACCTATGACATATAAACTTGAACCTAATTTCTTTTTATAAGATTGCCCGTGGCACTCCCTTATAAAATTCTTGGATTAATTTATCTCTTTCTCCAGCATCTCTAGAAAACATCAAAAGGCTCACTCCGGCCAAAAGTTTTCACTTATCTGGATCACTCAGGATTAACCTAAAAACAGTATGGCTTCTAAAAATCAAGTTATACTTTTATTATATGCATAGGATGAAATAAGAAATATAACAAATATTTACTTCAAGAAAAACATGAATATAAAAATTAAGAAGTAAAACATAAATAAGGGATTTATAAATTCATCTTTAAAAGATTTACAATTAAGGATTTCCCTTTCGGGAAGTCCCTAAAATTCTAAAATAAACTTAAGAAAACAAGAGTACCTAAAAATATTCACAAAGACTTCAGCTATATAATAGTTTTTGGATTGAGAATTTTTCTGGAGGAAAAGCTTCAAAAGTTTTTTAGATAGTAGAGAGTAAACATGTTGTAAACTTTTGCCTAAACCAAATGAAACTGTCTTTTTAAATAGAAAAATTCTTGAGAGCAAAAAGTCTAAACTATCCTTAGTGGCAAAGGCACTCATTTCACCGAGAAGCTTCTAGCCAATCAAAAATATAACAAGTGTCTAAAAATTTTAGTGGGAATCTTTCTTTTCAAAAAGTTTCGACATCTTTTCTAAAAATGAAAGTTAATCAAAAAGTCTACAATCTAGTGATAAAAAAGTCTTCAGCTTTTTCTTCTTTTCTTCCACCAAAAATTGTCTTGTTTTGCATTATTGAGAATCTTATCATGTATCAAGATTATGACGTGCCACTGATGAAAATGACATTCCACTGTCTGAATCATTGTATCCTTCGTTCTATGGATCTTCATCTTCTTCTGAAAGTTTTGAATGATTAGCTTCATTTTTTTCCTTTTGATTTGAACATTCTGCAATTTCTTTTTCTTCTTCACGATTCTTTTTTAAAATCATCTCAAATGCTTAATTTACTGCTTCTTTAATTTGTTTTTTTAATCTTTCATCATTTTTCTTCTTCTTAATCTTTTTCTTCCTTTTTGAAGAAGTTCCTTCTTCTCTTTTGGATTGTTTCTAAAATTCTTCAATTTTTTCAAAAATCTTTTCTAAAAAAACAGTGTCTGGATTGGGGTCTTGTGTTTCTTGAAAAAATAAACAATCTTAACTATTTTGGGCAACCATTTTTTCCTTTCCTTTACTAGAATGAATTTCTTGGGTTTGTGAAAGATCTGGGTTATTTGAAAAATGTTCCGGTGGACTATATTTAATTAAATAATCAAATTTTTCATTGAGCTGTCCTAAAAGATCCCAAATTTCTTTACCCTTTTCTGTAGCAGATTTATCAGTCTGCTGAGTCTGATTATCTAATTTAGTAGAGGAATCAACAGTCCCCTGAGTCTGTTGGGCTTTTGGTAAGTCCACAACCTTCAATGGATTTGATAAGTTTTTACCAACTACCGTTTGAGCTGGACTGGCTATGGACTTATTGGGCTCCATTGTACCTGTTGGATATTGGACTTTTAAATCCCAAACTCTTTTTTAAGTTGGGCAACTTTCTTTTGGAGTTGGGTTCTTTCTAATGAAAGGTTCTGGTTGGCTTCATTAATAACTTTATAATTTCTTTGCATACACTCACAGTGTTGGCAAAAAATATTCTGGTCTTTACTTGGAGAGAAGTCTAATGGAGGATCAGAGTAATTTTTTAAAGAAGGAGATAAATAAAAATTTATTCATATATGCTGCCTTGCTGCATCTAATGCTTCTTGGAAATTCGTAAAACCTTTGTAAAAAGGATCTGGAAAAATTTTAATACAGTCTAAAACTTCTATCCAAGAATGGAAAATTCCTGGATTTTTTTCCCTTAATAACAACATAAAATTTAAATCTTTGCTTGTTCTGACTAAAATGTTCTGATAATGCATTCATGCATGCAAGAAAATATTTCTGATCTTTTGGATTCTTGTTATATGAAATCCATAAATTATCTAAAATACATTTTCTTCTCTAGATAAAGAAATATGAGGTAAAATTTTGAAAGAAATATTACTATTTGGAAATACTATAAGTTCTTGGTTTCCAAACCTTAATCTGTCTTGTAACATTGGTCTGTTCTGATTAAATGGAGTCTGTGGTAAAGAACTTGATGCAAATGAATTCCTTGGTGGAATTCCTGGTCTTAAAGGTCTTGGTTTTGTCATCTGTATAACAAAATTATGTTAAACAAGTTTAATAATTTCTATCTATTATTATTCTACTTAGTATATTTGCAGCTTTATTATCACTACCTTTAATATGCTCAAATTCTATATTAATTCCTGTATTTGTAATTCTATCTATAAAATTTAACCATCTTCTTCTACTACTTCTTTTTGAATCTATTTTCATTTTATTAACAAAGGAAACTATAGCTACACAATCTGTTCTTATAGTTATTTCTTTCTTAGATATAATAAATAATTCAAAACTATCTAATACATAATTTATAGCTAATAATTCTGCATCTATACTGCTTAAATTTCTTTTTTCTTTATAATTTTCACTATTATATTACAAATACTTTCTGTACTTTTATCAGTATATTTATTGGGTTTGCATATTAATATAACTCCCTATCCTATCACACTTCCATCTGTTTCTATAATTAAATATTCTGAATCTAATTGCATGGCTAATTTTGGTAAAATTTTTATCTTTTCTTTTATTTGTTGTACTAATTTTATGTTTTCTTGATTAAAAAATCTTTGTCCTGTAGGAGATGTCTTTACATATAAAGGTCCTGCTATTTTTCCCAAATCTTTTATAAATGGTCTAGCATAATTTACTAATCCTAAAAAATTTTGAATTTACTTTAAATCTTCAAGTTTATCTGGAAATTCTAAAGCTTTCTTAGTAATATGAGGTTGTAATTTAATTTTTCCTTCTCCTATGTTAACTCCTAAAAAGTCTATAAATTATTTGAATAAAATCATTTTCTTTTTACTAATTATTAAACCATGTTTAATAAATTCTGAAAATACTATTTGTAAATGTCCTCTGTGTTATTTTTTATTTTTACTAAATACTAAAATATCATCTATATATACTATTACAAACTTACTATGTTTATTAAAAATATTTTCCATTTTTCTTTGAAAAATGCTAGGTGTATTTTTAATTCCAAATGACATTACAAGCCATTCAAAATGTCCTTCTGGACAAGTAAAAGTCGTCCATTTAATACTTTTTGGATGCATTTTTACCTGCCAAAATTCTGACTTTAAATCAAATTTACTAAAAATTTTATAGTCTTGTATTTTATTTATTAAAACTGTCTTATCTGGTATATTATAAGTATCGTCTATAGTATTATCATTAAATCTTTTATAATTAATAACCATTTTACTTTTTCCCCTAACAATTTCTGAATGTTTTCTAACTATAAAGGCTGCTGATCTATGAAGACTTTCTGATTTTCTAATTACTCCTAATTCTAAGAGTTCTTTTAT